AGGGCACATAACTCGGTTTCTGGTTCTGTCCCCAGTAGGGGCACATACAGAATGTTTCTCTCTCACACTGATGTTTCTCTTTCCTTCTCCCTCCTTCCTCTATCTTTCTCTCCCTCTCTAAAATCAATAAACATATCCTCAGACGAGAATTAAAAAAATATATATTAACAAGAAAATCTATTTATAATACAAATAGCCTCATGGAAATACAAATATAGTTCACTTGTAATCATAGCACCTACATACTAAAAAACTAGGCTTTGCTAACAGATTTTAAAAATTTAATAAGTCCTAATTACAAGTTTCATACTCATCTAAAAGTTTTGATAAACTGGGCTTGAATAAAATATGCAATTTGTAAAAAATGGCTTTGTTAAGAAAAGTAATAGTTTCTACTAATAAATGAATTCAATAAAGCTGCAGAACACAAAAGCAACACATAAAAATCAACCACAGTTCTACATTAACAGTGAACAATCTAAAAAGGAAATTAAGAGAACAATTCCATTTACAATAGCATCGAAAATAATAAAATACTTAGGAATGAATTTAACCAAGGGGGTGACAGACTTTGTTCATTAAAAAATACAAAATGTTGCTGGAAAAAATTAAATTACACAAATAAATGGAAATACTTCACATGTTCATGGATTAAAAACTTAATATTGTTAAGATGTCAATACTACTCAAAGTGATCTATATAGATTCAATGCACTCATAAAAATCCCAAGTGTTTTTCTGCATAGACAGGAAAATCCATCCTAAAATTTAAACAGAATCTAAAACAACCTTAAAAAACAAAAATAAAGCTGGAGGTCTTCCTGATTTCAAAACTTATTACAAAGCTACAGTTATCAAACCAGCATGGTACAGGAGGTTCTCAAACAATGTTGTTTTGTTCAGTGTTGATGAGGAAAAGAAAAATTGATTTCAGTCAGGGCCACTGTCTGTGTAGAGCTTGTATGTTTCTCCCATGTCTGCATGGGTTTTCTCCAGGTACTCCAGTTTCCTTCCACCTAAGATGTGTACATTAGGTGGATTGGCATGTCTAAATTGCCCCAGTCTGAGTGAGTGTGGATAGGTGTGTGAATATGCCTTGCAATACAATGGTGTTCTGTTCAGGGTGGGTTCTCATCTTGCCAAGATAGCCTCTGGACACCTGCAACCCTAAACTGGAATAAGCAGATTAGAAAGTAATTCTCTTACTTGTTTTTATTAATCTTTCTTAAATGTATGTATAGCTCACATTTATTTCAGTGCTTCATAATAGAAGTATTTTGGGTCATTATTTAGAAAACCAGTGATGTTTTTGCGACCAGATATATGCCCTTCTCTTGTTTACAGTTGACCCTTCAACAACACAGTAATTAGGGGCACCACAGACTCCCCTGCACAACAGAAAATCCATGTATAACTATGACTCCTCAAAAACTTGAATATATTATATAGCTGACCAGAGATTAGGGGAACTGAATTCCCACAGAGTTGAAAATCTGCATATAACTTTTGACTCTCTGAAACAGTAACTACTAATAGCCTACTACTGATGGGAAGTCTTACTGATAACAATCAATTACCCACAATGGGACACCACCTTACAGCCATTACAATGGCCAGTATAAAAAAAAAAAAATTAAGTGTTGGCAAGGATATGGAGAAACTGGGACTCCTGCACTGTTGGTGGGAATGTAAAATGTTGCAGCTGCTGTGGAAAACAGTATGAGAGTTCCTGAAAAACTTAAAAACAGAATTACCATATGATATAGCAATCCCACTTCTGGAAGAATTTAAGGCAGAGTCTCAAAAAAAAATCTGTACACCTGTGTTTTTAACAGTATTATTCACAATAGTCAAAAGGTGGAAGCAACACAAATGTCCATCCATGAATGAATGAATAAACAAATAAACAAATATGGTATACACCTAAAATGGAGTATAAGTCAGCCTTAAAAAGGAAATTCTGACATATGCTACAGTAGGGATGAGCCTTGAAGACATCATGCTAAGTGAAATAAGACCAGAAATGGTCATAAAGAAATCATACTGTTCTTGCCCTGGCCGGTTTCGCTCAGCGGTTAGAGCGTCGGCCTGCGGTCCTGAGAGACCCTGGTTCGGTTCCCGCTAAGGGCACGTACCTCGGTTGCAGTTTGTCCCCAGCCCTGGTTGGTCGTGCGGGTGGCAGCCACTCGATGTGTCCCTTTCACGTCGATGTTTCTCTCTCTCTCCCTCCCACTCTATCTGAACAAAAAATAGAAAAAATGTCCTCAGGGGAGGATAAAAAAAAAAAAAATCATACTATTCTTAAAAAGACTTGAATAGAGCACTCAACTGTTTTCTACTAGTAAATTTTATATACAACAAGAACAAAGTTAATTTCTTCATTAAGGCAACATTATTTAATAAACCATTAATTTTGGTGTTATATATACAAGAAGGTAATAAAAAGTTACTTAAAGCCCAGGCAGAGTGGCTCAGTGGACTGAGCATAGTCCCATGGACTGAGAAGTCCTAGTTCCATTCCCGGTCAGGGCTCATGCCTGGGGTTGCAGGCTTGGTCCCCAGTATGGGCATGCAGGAGGCAGTTGATCGATGTTTCTCTCTCACACAGATGTTTCTCTCTCTCCCTTCCTCTCTCTCTAAAAAAAAAAAAAAAATCAAGAAAAACATACTCCGCCCCCCTTTGGTATGTGCCCCTAGCGGGAACTGAACCTGGGACTCTCTGGTCCACAGGTCGATGCTCCAACCGCTGGGCCAAACCGACAAGGGCAATAAAAACATACTTTTTAAATTTTTCTGATGATCATATATTGGTCCTTCTACCTAAGTCTCAATAAATAAGGTTTTATTGAACTAACATCAAGGCAAATGTCTTTTTAAAATCCCATACTCAAGCCAAATGTTTAAAAATCTTAAGGCTTCAGAGAATTCCTCAAATACTAATATTCACTAATTGCTCCCCATCTTGGTACTTCTTAAATAATTAAGAGCACTGTAAAAATAAGAGAAAATTTTTGAAATAGAAAAATAATCCCTAATCCTACCATCCCAATATAGTTTATTTCATTTTCACAAACTCCCTGTGAGTTTTCACATAAGCAAATGAATACCGGATTGTAGCTACAGTTCAGCTATCAAGCTGATTTTTTTCTTCTTAGCCCTGTATAAGCCATTTTGCATCTTTGACAATCAATATTCAAAATTACCATTTCAATAGCAGCATAATTATTAGTGCTGCTGTACTTTAGTTATATCTAACTAAGAGTTGTCATGACAGAAACCTAACATATAACTTCCTTTTATAAGTTGCTATATATTGCCTTAGTGATTTCCAAAACAGAGCATTACCAATTTTACTTGCAACCCACAATGAACCAGTCTCACAATACCCTCAGCACTGTTACGTCAGTGGTTTTTTGTCTTTTTTTTGGTACATGCCCCTAGCAAGACATCAGTATTTTTTTGTTACACTTCTTGAAAATGGATAACAATTAATTTTAAACTGCATTTCTTCCATTTGTCTGTTGCTGGGTATTTTTAACTAAACTTCAGCCAAGATTCCCAGCAAGAGGCAAGTTTTACATAAATACCTGATGAGAAAATTCCTAAATACCTCTGAATTTGAAAAATGTTTCTGAAGGTCTCTGCAATACCTGATTGTTACAGAAGAGTTCAAATAAAACAGAGCATGATAACTTTCCATAAGTTGAATTACTAGTTAAATATTAAGTTGGTACAACTCATCTTTACCTATCATCCCATTCCCTCAGCCTCCTCCATGCTTTGCTCCATCCTTTAAAGCCCAGTTTAAATGTGGTCTCAGTGAATCACCGCCTACTTTCCCAAGTATACCACAGTAAACTATCTATACTTTTTTGAAAAACTTTTCTCTTCTTCCGGTTATACCATTTCGCTCCCCCACCACCACCAAGATTATTGCCTGTCAGACTGTAAATTACTAGGAGAGCAGGGAATGTTTAAATTCTTTCTCCTCCCCTAATCTAGATCAAACATAAACATATGTTCCAAAGCTTCTTATATTCCAAGTAGATACTCTTTGTTATAATCATAATACAGACAAGCAGGTATGTCTCAATGAGCCAAACTAAACAGACTACTGTGGACTTTGATCTAAGGTTCAATCAACATTTACTGTAACTGTGTTTAATCAGTCCAGATTGTTGCATGCATATTAGGCTGACCTAAAAACAATGGCTTAAAATATGACATCTAGCCCCAGCCAGGTAGCTCAGTTGGTTGGAGCACTGTCCACATATTCAAAGGTTGTGGGTTTGATCCCTGGTCAGGGCACATACAATACAAGAATAAACCAATGAATGCGTATGTTAATGAAAAACAAAACTGATTATTTCTCTTTTACTCTCTCTAAAATCAATGAATTAAAAAATGTTTTTATTTTTTAAAAAATAACAATAAGCCCTTGCCGGTTTGGCTCAGCGGTTAGAGCGTCGGCCTGCGGTCCAGAGAGACCTGGGTTCGGTTCCTGCTAAAAGCACGTACCTCGGTTGCAGTTTGTCCCCGGCCCTGGCTGGGTTGTGCTGAAGGCAGCCATTCAATGTGTCCCTTTCATGTCGATGTTTCTCTCTCTGTCTCTCTGTTCCTCTCTCTCCCTCCCACTCTATCTGAACAAAAAATGGAAAAATGTCCTCGGGTGAGGATAAAAAAATAGTAATAATAAAATAAAATGTGACATCTAACTAAAACCGAATTGGTAATGAGAAATGTGAAATGCTTTGAGTCAAGTACTGCTTTAGAAAATTAAGGGAATACAAAACCTCTCGTAGTCCTTTCTTTTTCAGAGTCAACAATTAGAATGGCAGAAAGAAAGAAAACATTTCTTTAGCCAAAAGAAAACCCTAATTAGAGTTTCTAAGTTAAACAAATAGTTGCTCAAAGAAAGAAAGGGCAATTTTAGAATATATTTTCTTAGTGTGCTTAATTCCCTTGTTTTTCAAAAGGAAAGATTAGAAAAAGAAATGTACCTGAAAATGGCAGGGTTGCAGACATGCTTTGGATCCAGTGCTTCTCCCTGTATAAATTCATAGCACAGTCCATTGTTGAAGGTACAGTAGAGTTGTGGTGCACAGCCATGAGCCTGTAACACTCGGAAACTCTTCACTTCCTCATCTCGATCGACTAACAACTCAGTCTTGTTGCCATAAATTCGCACCAGGACTACATCCTCCATTGTATCACCCACATAACAGCCAATAAGTTTATTTGTGATTCCATCTGTGAAGAGCTGCAAAAAAAATAAAAGAAATAAAAAATGGAAGAGGAAAAGCAATTATATACTCTCAAGGAACTATATCAGAGATAATGTGAAAATAATTAAATACCAATTAAAAGAAAGTATCTACTTTTTAATATAAAAGAACTACTGAATACAATTTTGCCTAACGTCTATAATTTTAATTCTAGATTTAAGCAAATAGCAATTATACTGTTTAATCTTGCCCTTAATTTCTATAACATTGTCTTTCTTGATTCAAATGTGTTCATTATTCAACAACCAGTATGTCTATACTTTTTGACAGCTATTGTATCTCAGTACGCCTTTGTAATCATTGTATTCTCTCTCTTGCTAAACACACACACACACGCACACACACACACACACACAGAGTAACCTCTCCTATGACTAATAGAATAGAAAATCTCTGAAGACAGATACACCGCCTTCTTTCTAGCATGGTATATGATATAAAAAAGGTCTTTAATAATGTTTGTGAGTTTAAATATACAAATATAATCTATCATAATTTACATTATGATAAATCTCCAACTTATAAAAAATTGAATTTTGAATGTTAATTTTATTTATTTTTAAATTTTGTTTTCTTTATTAATTTTAGAGAGAGAGGAAGGGAGAGATAGAAACATCGATGAAAGAGAACATCGACTGGCCACTTCCTGCATGCCCCCACTGGGGATCCAGCCCACAACCTGGGCACATGCCCTGACTGGGAATCGAACCGGCGACCTCTTGGTGTATGGGTTGACGCTCAACCACTGAGCCACACTGGCAGGGCTCATATGTTAATTTTAAAGGTTACTTAACATAACATGCATTAGAAAATGTTTTAAGTATTCAGGTTATAATAATTTCAACTTGAATGCTACAGCTACAAAAAGAAACACCACCTTAATTACAGGAAAATAGGTAAATAGAGATTCTACAATCTTTTCTAAAAGAAACTTTTGGGCCCTGGCCAGTATGGCTCAGTTGGTTGAAGTGTCATCCGCACACCAAAAGGTTGCGGGTTCTATTCCTGGTCAGGGCAGATACCCAGGTTGTGGGTTCGATCCCCAGGTCTAGGAGCTACTTCTTAAGAGCCCCTCAATGGTGTAAGTTCTTGTATGTTTCTCTCTCACATAGATATTTCTCTCTCTCTCTCTCTCTCTCTATCTATCTATCTCTATCTCTCTCAAATCAATAAAAACATATCCTTAGGTAAGGATTTTTTTAAAAGCCCTTTAAAAGGGACTTTTATGACTTTTCAAAAGCATTAAGTCAAGTACATCAAGTCCTCTTTTAGATCTGAACAAAGATGGTACATCAAAAAGCAAATAGATGATTGCCAATATTAGTCTTCTAAGTCTATAAAAAAATTCTTTCATTTTCCTCTGCACTAATTTGATATGAAAACTCACTCTTCCATTTACCCAATTATAACTCAAAGCCTTTGGAGGCTCTTAAGTAGAATAAAGGGACAAGAGGTAAAAGTGAAAGTAAGAGTTAAGGACATTTTTTTCTAAGACAACTGGAAAGAACAGGAAAAAAAAAAGACAATAAGTTTTAAATGTGCACACATAACTAATGCCTGAGAAAGAGGGTAAATGTTTCTATTTCAGTAAGAATGTTGTAATGATACTTTAGACCTTCAGATGAAATTCTCAAAGTTTACTAAAGTTTATAAACATCTGACAAGTTGTTATATAATGTTATTTTAAATTTAAGGTTTGACTATTTATCCATATTCATCTAATGCAGGTAAATTATATAAGCTAATGTAAAGAGACATTTTGAATATATTTTTAGCTATACAGAGACATATAATATGCTTTCCACCTAGCTTTCAAAAAGATTGTATGTAGGAAGACATGAAGCACATGCACTGAAACTAAATGCCAATCATCATTTCATTAAAATCTGTGTTGAAAGTATGTTATTATTATCAATTCACACATTATTTATAACTTCTTCAGTTGTCATGTAGAGATAAAATATTTCAATTACATTTATCAAGACTGAGACACATTCTGAAATGCTCATAACTAATTGATACTCTACACTCCTCAAATGCCAGAACTTGAATTTATGCATTCTGTATACTGATAGAAAAGAGTAGGTACTTATTAAACACGAGCACCCATACTGTCTTCTTGATCTAATCTATAATAAATGCATAATCTCTCTTGCTTATAATAAACTTCTTTAATTATGCATGCTACATTATACATATATGTCTATACACAAAAACATACACATAAAGATGTATGCACTTAAAACAACTTAGAGATAGTAAGATTACTGAATTCAGATTAATGAACATTATAGGCATTCATATGGGTAACAAAGAATCACAACTCCAGTGACACTAACCCTAACATTTTCTATTGTACAACAATCATGTACTTGCAGTGAAAGAACAGTCACAATAAATTCTTAAGGTAGAAAAATAAATATATGAATAATATAACTTCATATTTATAGAAACATTTTAAGTAAGCATAAAAATGTCTGCAAAGACATTCAACAAAAATATGAGGTAGTGTAAATCTTGTTTCTTGTTTCTCTCTAGTTAAAAACTCTTTTCTTTGGCTTATGTAAGTATTCTTACTTTTTTTTTTTCTTTTGCAATGGAACTAGTTTAAAAGGAAAAAGTTAAATTAGTGAGAAGAAAAGGAACCTAACAGCTAGGAATCAACCTAGCACACACAGTAAGGCCTTGAGGTTATGTTGAACATAAACAATGCCATAGAATAATAACATTAGATAAGGCCAGTCTGTGACCTGAATGGATATCAAAACAAAAAAGAGGCATTCTGTAATCATATCTGAACATAGACAAAATTATGAAATTTTCCCAAACCACAAAAATAACCAAACATCCCTCTATTCTGGCTAATATGAGTGACTGCTAGTCCTTTTCCAGTCACAGCTTTGACCTATCTTCACTCCTCTAGTCCTCTAGGCAAGATTAATATACCCATAGTGATCCATAGACTTGTCCCACTTCCTTGCTGACAGCACCCAAACCAGAGGAAAGCCTTGCTTCCTCGAACTCTCCCAAATCACCAAACCGAAATCCTATATTAATCCTTTCTAGCATCTACTTCTTAAGATCCCCACCATTCTCCATGGTATAAATTCTCCCGAACTGCAGTGAGTAGCAATTCAAACTTGTTCAGATATAGGTGTGTTCCTGATAGTTTCTCGATGGAGAACACTAATGTTAAAGATGCACAGATAGCCCAGGCAGTGTAGCTCCGTTGGTTGAGCCTTGTCCCATGCACTAAGAGGTCAACAGTTTGATTCCTGGTTAGGGCACATGCCTGGGTTGTGGGCTCAATACCCAGTAGGAGGCGTGCAGGAGGCAGGTGATCGATATTTCTCCCTCATAGATACTTCTACCTCTCTCCCTCTCCCTCCTCTCTAAAATCAATAAAAACTATTTTTTAAAAAAGAAGCATGGATAATGTTCTTTGCTCCTGGATAGTTCCCACTTCATATATAAACCTGCAAGTAATTCAATGTGCTGAATGTTTTCCAAATATACAATTAAATATACTACGCCATATACTAGGTAAGAATACTACACTAGTTATATACTAGAAATACAAAATTCCACCTCAATGGAGCAGAGACAAAACCAATACAAATTTCATGGACCTCCTTTTCATAGGGTTTATGCTGCACTGTTTGTAAAATATTTAGAAAGTACTAGTTCAAAGGATGAGCTACAGAGCAAGACTGCTTGAACTGAAATTCTAGCTGTGTACCTACAAGCTGAGTAACTTTGAGTAACTCACTTAACCTCCATGTGTTTCATTTTCCTCATGTATAATAACAGCATATTAGAATCTATTTTATAGGACAGTTATGAAGATTAATGAATTAATGTACATAGAAACACTTAGAATAGTGCCTGGCACACACTAAGCTCTTAACAAGTACGCAGATAACTACATATTTAAATTTTAATACAAGAAAACAAAATAAGTCAAGATAAAATCATAAAACAGTGAGTAAAGTCCCGGAGACTGAAAGATGGTAGTGGCCACAGAGTTGGCACTGCTGCAATCCCTGGGGCTGATTAAAGGGAACAAGAACAGTGCTCAAGAGGAGTGCCAGATTCCAGTTCTTCACAGTCCAAGTCTACTATAGCAGCTCCTCTAGTCAAGCAAGCCAACAAAGACTATTTGCTTGGGAGCACTGCAGAAGAAAAAGCAATAGTGCAACAATAGTTAGAATACAGAGTAACTCAAGAAGATGGGAACTCCAATAAAGATGATATCCACATTCTGTTGAAGGATCTTCATTCATATCTTGAAGATAAAGTCTACCTTTTAGGATATAACTTTACCTTAGCAGATACCCTATTATATTATGGACTCCATCACTTCATAGTTGACCTGCCAGTTCAAGGAAAGAAGAAATATCTTAATGTGTCTCACTGGTTTTGTCACATTCAGCATTATCCAGGCATCAGGCAATATCTGACTAGTGTTGTCTTCCTCAAGAACAGACTATATACTACTTCCCACTAGAAGCCACCCATGTCATACAGAGAAGAGTGATTAAAAAGATGTTAAATGGCCCAGCTAGAGTGGCTCAGTGGCTGAGTGTCGACCTATGCACCAAGAGGTTGCTGGTTCAATTCCCAGTCAGGGCATATGTCTGGGTTGCAAGCTCAATCCCTGGTAGGGGACATGCAGGAGACAGCCAATCAATGTTGCTGTTTCTCTCTCTCATTGATGTTTCCATCTCTCTCTCCCTCTCCCTTCCTCTCTAAAAAAAATCATGTCCTAGCTGATTTGGTTCAGCGGTTAGAGCATTGGCCCGCAAACCAGAGTCACGGGTTTGATTCCGGTCAAGGGCATGTACCTTTGGTTGCGGTTTGGTCCCCGGGCCCTGGTGGGGGTCATGTGGAAAACACCAATTGATGTGTCTCTCTCACATCGATGTTTCTCTTTTTCTTTCTCTCCCCCTCCCTCCCACTCTATTTGAACAAAAAT